CCCTCCTTGTGAATCCTAACCCTCTTCAACACATGGAGTTGATATGAGGGAATGGAGGAATTGGATCTCATCTTAAGGAATTGCACTGTAGGATCTATGTCATTAGATCCCCAAAACAAGTACCACTTGTTCACTTCTTTGCTTCCATAAATTATCAAGCGCATTACACATAAGATGTATTTTAAATTATGATTTTAGATGATTAAAGACATAGAAAGTTATATAAAATATTGTAGGGTTCATAGTTGATATTTTTCAAGGTGATCAAAGAGTGGTAATATCAAAATAATTAGGTTTAATCCTTTATGAACACTTTAGAATCAATCAAAATCGTCGAAACATGGAAGAAAGGTGAATGAAGCACTAAAATCTTGTAGTCGCATTGTTTTTCACATGGTAACATGGTTTAGGAGTTCCAATTAGTGCTCTAAACATGGTCAAAGGCATACGAGAAGATTGGAGGAGAAACAACAAAGAAACAAGGCAAAATAAATCAATTGACAGGAGCAATGTTTGATCACACAACATATAGAATCATACGTCTGATTTGAAATCATACGTCTAGTGCACTAGTACAAAACTGCTCTGTCCAAACGGTTGTAACCGTTTGGGCAAATGCAGTCCCAAACGGTTACAACTGTTTGGCCAAGGAAAAAACCCGTTTGGACTGAAGCCGTTGGGGAAGAGTTTATCCCAACGGTAGCCCAAACGGTTGTAACCGTTTGGGCAAAACCCCAAACGGTTGTAACCGTTTGGGATTTTGCCCAAACGGTTACAACCGTTTGGGCTGGCAAAAACGCCCAAACGGGTACAACCGTTTGGACAGAACTTTGCCCAAACAGTTTCAACTGTTTGGACAAACCTTTGTCCAAACGGTTGTACCAAACCGTTTGGGTTGTCAAAAATGCCCAAACGGGTGCAACCGTTTGGACAGAATTTGGTCCAAACGGTTTCAACCGTTTGGACAAAACTCTGTCCAAACGGTTGCACCCGTTTGGACTGTTTATTTTTATCATTTTTATTATTTAGCTATTTAAATATCTACCTGCTTACACAATAATTTCTCACACAATATGGACATCTCACACAATAATTTCTCACACAATATGGACATCTCACACAATAATTTCTCAATATATCACAATGAAATCGAAAATATATACATACACAAAAGTGTCTCAAACAATGCTAAATATCCAATAGTATATATACATACACAATGAAAATATATATTATTATATATATGTCTCTAATATCCAAAATTACTCATACACATCCAAAATATAATATAGGAGTGGCTTGATCCATCCAGTCATTGAACAGAAGAAATTCCTCGAAGAATGTCCTCCTGGGACAAGCCCGAACCCCTCAAGACTGCAAATATCTTAGCAAGATTCTCCCGTGACAAACCTTGAGCACTAGAAGTAGAAGTGTTAGCAGTTGAAGCAGGACGACCAGAATGTGGTATATCGGCAACGGGCTGAGGAATTGGAGCAGGACGAGTAAAAGCTGGGGGATCATTAGGAGTGGGGGCAGGACGAGCTCCCTGAGAATTAACCTATAAAGTATAAGCAAAGCATGTGTTAAGTCTATGTGTACGTTTACATGTATAAGTATTAGTTTTACGTATATTTGTGTATGCTAGTGTACATGTGTTTGCGAGAGTGTTTGTATATTAGCATATGTACCATATTGTTATTAATCCAATGCATCTGAGACCTAAGCTCCTCTCTAAGACTATCCATCTCAGCTACCCGAGCTCTAAGACTATCCATCTCAGCTACCCGAGTTCTAAGATCAGCCACCTCGCGATGTAGCTCCTGATTAGAAGTGCTAAATTCCGGTATGGAGGATGCCCTCAAGTAAGTCCGAGTGGCACCAATGCCCATGGCTCTTTCATAACCACCGTGATGTCCTCCGTGCAGGGAATCTAACATCTGGGTGAAATAAAGTGCATCATCCTCTGTTGTTGAATCGGCCCCGGATAAGGTTGCCTCCTCAATGACTCGATTCTACATGATACAAAGTAGTCAATTGTAAGTCGACAATGCAAAAGGAGATATATTTACGAAAAAAACAAAATAGAAGTATGACAAGATTAACATATATGGCTGCTTTCTACATGATACAAAGTAGTCAATTTTAGAGTCAAGTTTAATTGCAAACTGCTCAAATAGGTCAGTATTCAAAAGCTCATGCCATGTCGTTAGACGAATGCCAGTAAGCAACAAGCTTTAACCAATCAGGACGTGGTATTCTAGGAGGAACATTATTGTCTACTTCTTCACGAGGTGGACTACCTTGAAAGCTTTCCTTTTTACTTTAGTTTTATATTCTCTCCATATGTTACAAATTTGTTCGCGTATAATTTTCTCAACATCTTGATTTTCAGGAAGATCAAACTTGCTCCGGAAGCACAATATTTAAAAATGAAAGGACAAATACTAAGCAGTAAAAATAAATTAGCATAGTTTGCAACTTCAAAAACATGCAAAGAATATAAACCTCTCAGATTTTAGAAGTAGCTGTTCACTTCATGACTGTGATCTAAACTACCAATGTGTAGTAAACATATATTCATCGAGAAGACTTACGCAATACTCCTTAGTGTTGTTGTCCGGGTATATATACTCTCCGGTGACCTTATCTACCGATGACGAGTGGGTACCCAAATATAGTCTCAACATTGTAGGTGTGCCACCATCCTCAATGATTTGAGCTTTCTGCAATTCACCAAAAATATGTAGTATAATCGATCAAATCAATAAGAATTAAAGGTGTTTAATTCTTGGTATAATGAAACTAGATTTCTGTGGAACCAAAAGTTCTAAAATCCAATACAATTTTATGGCAGAGAATATAAACCTGAGTTATAAGATACACGAAATGCAGTTGCTCACAAAACAAAAGGATCTCATTTTTCATATGTAAGCCAAGTAATCAAACTTCTCAGACTTGTCAGTTGCTCACAAAACAAAAGGATCTCATTTTTCATATGTAAGCCAAGTAATCAAACTTCTCAGACTTGTCTCAGGTTCAAACCTCTTTGTTACTAAATTTTTCATATGTAAGCCAAGTAATCAAACTTCTCAGACTTGTCTCAGGTTCAAACCTCTTTGTTACTAATACAAATATTCCATATGTTTGATATTTTTCTTTTTCTCCTTATCAATTATACACAGCAAGTTGATGCTAAGGCATGCATGGATTTACTCTGTTCCCCAAAAAACAGAAGTATACGAACATTGATATATATAGGCACTTCCTCACGTAAACATTGATATACAGCAAGTTCGATTTAGGCACTCTAGCCGACATGTCTTTGAATCGTTCTATTACCCGTGTATCATCATCATCATCTATAGGGAATTATATTATATTAATTTTAAATAGCTTTTAGAAGCAAACTTACCACTTGATCCATAGCCCGACACATGTTCCTCGAGCCACCTGTATAGGTTGCTCGACCATGCAAATTTGACGCCCGATTCTGCACATTACGTCTTGCCTCCTTCTGCATGTCATTATTATATTTAGATTTGTAATTAAACAAAGGTAGAATGAATTACCTACTAAACATTTGATTTTAGTTTAAACTGTACACCTTCTTGTCCTCTGAATCATAATAAGCACACAACTTATCCCATGAGTCTTTATCAATCTAAGAAAACGCCGGAGTAGTCCAAAGAGCCTCCCTCTCTGCTTCGGGAGTATTTTTCCACACCTCAAAACACTCTTGTTTTACTTGACACCTATTATATCGGACCCTCTCCTGCAACTGAGACTTTATTCCCCGATAAACAATATGATGGGAGAGAGGTTGATTAGGATCTAGGGGGAGAAACTCATAATACATCTGCATATTCAATAAACGAATCACATGGTTAAAATATTATGTACCAAATGATAACAAATTAATCAGAAAAATAAAAATATATTTATACCTGACATGTTATAAAGAAATCGTCAAATGACCTATTATGTTCATCACCCCATTCTAAATGGAGAGGATATTTGCAGTACTTACGGCTCTCCTCACCAACATACTTTCCCCATTTCTCAGCATAGTCACCAATGGGACGGCCCCTATTATTGAGATACAAAGGCCATGCCTTCTCTCCCTTTTCAACATCAGGCATCAGCTTATGGGCAGTATTGGGGCCTCGAGTGCGAACAGAGGATCGTGAATGCACTGTATGTGATTAGATAGAAGCATTATGTAAGCATTTCTTAGCAAAGCACATTAATCACCAAAAGATAATAAAGAAAGAAAGAAGCATCTGAATTACATCCTTGATTGAGTATAGAAGAGATACTAACATGATGATTGTCCAGAAGGTAAGGAGTGTGAAGGGGGGGTCGTCTGTAAATCATTTTCCTTTGTAGGTGCTTGTCGATTTGCGTCTATATCTGTATTAAATATCAGGAGTAGCACAATTGTGATATTAACAATACAAAATAAAGAGATATAAGCAAGGGATAAAAATTAGGCGTCATGTTAAAACAGAATCGAAAGAAATTAAATAGTTACCTCTAACTGGAGTAAACTCCCCAATGCTAGGTATGGATGTAGCAACATAAGCAGATTCGAGTTCTCTCCTACGATCTCTCGCCTGACGATGTAGGTCTCCACGCTGTATAATCCTACGTGATCTACTCTGCGATGGAACTCCAGACATATTCGTCAATCCCTATAAAGAATTTTACAATTCGTATAAGATATAAGAGAAATAGACATATATAAATTTGAAGATGTAAATTTTAAACAACATGAATTTTTATAATGGTTACCTTTTTCGCTTTACAGAAGTGTTAGGTTCTATAGATTCCCTAGAAGTTGTAGGAATATCTACAAGTATTTCACTATTCAAATCATTCCTAACCCACAAAATTTTATCAGATTCAAGAGATTTATCTTGACAGACAACTCCTCCCTGCTCAAATTCTTCGTCATCATTGATCTCTACATCCTCTGAATCTATGAACTGTGGAACGTCGTAAGTATCCCTGGGCCTCCATCGACATACAACACTCCACCCTGAATGCCTCACGCACTTTGAGTAGTATACTTGAAATGCTTGTTCTGGAAATATAAATGGATCGTCCTCAAAGGAAAAACGCGTGGTGTTTACACTCGTCAATCCATATTCATTTACCCAAGTCCCGTAATTGTCTCTCCACTTACCAATTCCAGTCTTCATATCATACCAAATACATTGAAAGACATAAATGCATCCTGCTCGTCCTGGATAGTTGATACCAAGTATGTTATCAAGGTACCCATAGTATATCTCATCATTAGTGCCTAGGGTTGCAATTCTACTATTTTGGGTGGTTCGAGATTCTTCTATAGACTTGATTTCAAACTTGTAACCGCCAACACCAAATCCTTTAAAGTATTTAACTTCAGCATCTGGAAGTGTAGCCAAATATCCAAGCTTCTTATCTAAAATTGATTCAACACTCGGTAATCGACTCTGACAAAAGGTTAATACGGCAATTACGTAAAGATGTTAGATTAAATTAATAGTATGTGTCAAAAAATGAGAAAATAGAAATCTTACATAATGTTTAAACCAATTGCAAAAGTTGTCCTGATGATGTGTTTCAACGCGTGCCTCATTCCAATTACTATGCATTGCACGTATTTCATCCTTGTGTATTCTAATGTCAAAATGAATAGTTAATGTGAGAAGTATATTATATCATATAAACATATATAATTATGCGAAATAGACGTACTCTCTAACTTCTCCAAGGCATTCGATATTGAGAATGATAAAGTGTAATAATCAATATTTTTATACAAGGTTTTATAGGAGATCCACAATTATTTTTGTGGTGTAGAAAGCTTTATGAATAGGCCCACATCATGTTTAACAAAAAAAAATTGAGGGTTCTCAAAGGCCCACCTAGGAAGCCCACTTCACCCATGTTTTTCGTTTAAGAGTTTCAAGATGATTCTTTTTCTTTTTTGGAATTTTTTTAAAATTCAAAATCCCTTGATTTAGCTCCCAAATCAGAAAAAAAAAACGTGGGATTCTTTTTTTTGTACTTTCCTTGTTTGTTTTTACCCATTTTAAAAACAAATTTCCTTAATTTTAGGGATTTTCAAAATTTAACTTTCTTATATATATCCTCACCTCTTCTTTCCTATAAAAAAACAAAAAAAAAATCTGCACGAAAAAAAAAGAAAAAAAAGAAGCAACAGAGAACAAGAGAAGGGGAGGAGACGCTTTTGGACTGTTCTTTTTGGGGTTCATAGTTTTTCTTCGACAAATCGGCAAGCATTTCTTTTCCTCAAATATTATTACTTTTAGATTTCATTTTTTTTCATGCAAACAAAATTTTTTCCCACTTGATTATATATATTTTTCTATGAATTTTAATATGTGCATACATGATTTAATTTGAATGGCATCCGTTGTAATTAGTTTGATGGCATGAGCTGTAAATAAATTTATGGCATGAGTTGTAAATAAAACAAACTTTATAACCGGTTTGTTCCCACCATTGTTTCTTAAGCCTTCATTATATTTTATTTTTTCCACGGTCATGCATTCCTCATTTGTAGATATATGTATAACTATAACCACATACTTATGCACAGACATATAGACCTGACATACTTATATTGTTTGTAGTTAATTTGTGTATGTTACAAGAGGTAAGGTTATATGACACATGTATGTTTATGAAATTCATAATTGTGTTAGTTGCATATTAAACTTCTGAGTTAATCATGTAATTCAGTATACTAAATCTGGTCAAAGTATTTTGTAAGAGGTAAATTCTATGTGTGATACATGTTATCACGATTCAGTATACTAAATCTGGTCAAAGTATTTTGTAAGAGGTAAATTCTATGTGTGATACATGTTATCACGAGTGGTATATGTATATTGCAGTAAAGTTTTTTGTAAGAGGTAAATTCTATGTGTGATACATGTTATCACGAGTGGTATATGTATATTGCAGTAAAGTTATTCAATTTGTCTTATCACAAGGTTTGACTCATCAAAACATGTCATGTGACAGTATCTAATATGTGTTTGTAGCAAAACTAATTAGTTGTCAGTTACTCATTATGTTATTATTTATATCGTTTGTACATTGTTTGTGTACATGTCATCCATTTTTTTTATATAAATTCATCTATGTCATACAAATTTAAGTTCAAAACTTTTATTAATATATTCATTATATATTAACTAAATGAGTGACTATTAGCATCATAAGCGGTCAGCGGTTACTAATAAAAATTTATTATATATTAACCTGCATGACTTTACGGAAAACTATTGCTGGATGCTATGTTAAATCACCTAGTGACATTGATAGGGTTGACTGTGCCTGAAGACGACTTCCGTCAAGAACTATGATTTATAAACGTGTTATCATAGCATGGCTATACCCTCGACATCGATGTCCCGATGTGAGGAGTTTTCCTTGATTATTATTATTATTACTATAGCATCGACTAGACGATGCACCCCTCTTGATTAGACATGTTTTGGCCCACGGTTATCTTTCATAGTTGTACGGAAGCCGTTCCACGGAATCCCTGTGGTTAGTGCACAACATTTCATGCACAGTTACTTAGATGAAACAGACAACATGGGGTTTATAAAGGGGGATTAGACGGAGAATATAACATGTATATAAACGGGCCTATGCGCATCCTGATATCCTGAGTTATATATATATATACATGGGGCCAAAGGGCCAATACTTGACTTGAAGCCGTGTTCCCGGGACGATTTACGGGAAACCGATTTATATACATGAAAATATTCTTCTCTAATTCAAATAACTTTTAAAAATAATAATAAATCTGCTTGTGTGTTTGATAATAGACATTGTTTGATCTCTATGGTTTGTAAATTTCTTTTATCACTGTTTATTTATAATTTATTTTTCATTTATATGCTATTTACCCTTACACGTGCACTATTCCTTCATTTTACATGCTTGTTGGGAGTTTTCTGACTCCCCTGGGGTTTGTATGCCCCAGATTCGGGAACTGTTCTTTCTTCACAGGACCGAGAGTATTTCGAGGGGCAGGCTCAGCTGCAGTGATCACCGTTCCTTCTATCCGTTCTCCAGTTCAGTTGTTTTAGGTAGTTATTTGGTTTAGTTTATTTTTCTTTAGCCCCAGTTGGCTCTCCAGACTATGGTGTATTATTTCCTTTCTCATTAGAGATTTGTGGACTTGTCATAGAATTATGGAAATTTCTGAGATTTCTTTATCTATACATTCCATTTTATTTTCTTGGTTACATGCTCTTTGGTATAGTTTTGGCTTTATCTGTATACAGGATGATCTAGAGGCGTGAATGCGACCGTATGGTTGCATTGCCGACCGAGTCACGTTCCGAACTATTGCATTTTGGAATCGGGGCGTGACATAAAGCGATGAATCTTGTTGATAAATGCGGGAGTCATTCTGTTGTAATCCGGCTTTTTTGATGGACCGTCATGAATCACGAGAGGTCTGTTGAGTTTTGTCTCAATGTCTTCATCCAGATAACGAGAACAAAAAGTGGTTAATTCCTCTAGCAGATAACCTTCCATAATAGAACCCTCTGGTCGATTTCTATTGCGAATATAGTTTTTCAAAGTGAGAAGGTACCTATAAAAGCTTATACTAAATCACCACATCCAACATGTAAAATAAAAATATATCGATTATGTTAACTAAAAAAATTAAATGTACCTTTCGATGGGGTACATCCATCGATATTGTACGGGTCCGGCAAGCCTAGCCTCAGTTGCAAGATGAACAGTCAGGTGTATAATGATATCAAAGAATGATGGTGGAAAAATCCGCTCAAGTTTGCACAAAATTATAGGAATTTTAGCCTGAGCTTCTTCAACTTATCATCCTCAATGTTTTTAGCGCACAACTCCCGAAAGAATCTACAAAGATCGTTAATCACTAAACCGACTGATTTAGGAAGGGAAGTCCTAAGAGAAAGTGGAAGAAGATGCTCCATAATAATATGATGATCATGACTCTTCAACCCTTCGATCTTGCCTTTAACAATCTTTTTCTTCTTACTAAATGATCCTGAAAACCCTGTTGGAACCTTCAACTCATGTAACACCTGAAGAAACTTTTTCTTCTCATCTGATGACATGTGATACACGGCATTGGGGAGTACAAACTGGTCAGGATTGCCTGCCTTCGGTATAGGATGCAACTCTTTTCTAATGTTCCACGCTTGAAGATCCCTTCGAGCTTTGAGGTTATCTTTTGATTTTCCATCTTTACAGAGAAGTAAGTTAAGTATGTGCTCAGATACTCCCTTTTCAATGTGCATGACATCTAGATTGTGCCGCACTTTATTTGTCTTCCAGTAGGGTAGTTCAAAGAAGATAATTTTCTTGTTCCATCCCTGTGGTGTTTCTTGCCTTCCCTTAACTTTTCCAAAAGTCACGTTTTTTTTTACCATTCCACTGAGCAAGTATATCCTCTCCGGATAATGGGTCTGGATGCGAGCGATTCTCTTTAGTACCGTCAAAGTGGATAATGTCATCTCTGTACGGATGATTTTCATCCAACATGCGTCGATGACCGCAATAACAAGTTTTATTGCTAAAGGGTAGCCTTCTCGATGTTGTCTGGAGATGACAGTAAGGACATGCAGCTAAAGGGTAGCCTTCTCGATGTTGTCTGGAGATGACAGTAAGGACATGCAGTGTAACCATGTACAGACCAACCAGATAGCATTCCATACGCAGGAAAATCGTTGATTGTCCACATTAAGGCTGCACGCATGGTGAAGTTGGTCCCCGTGTCCGCATCGTATGTCTCCACACCATCGATGAATAAAGACCTTAACTCTTCGATAAGAGGCCGAAGATAGACGTCAATATTATTTCTTGGTGACTTAGGACCATCAATAAAATAGAAGTACATGATGTTTAAACATGTTAATCTTATTAAATAAAATAGAAAATATGTAAATATTATATAAATCATAAGGCATTAATGTAACTCATAATTTAAGAAGTGTGTAGCAAAAAACAACAGTCACTCCTATGTTACTACGGTACTTCTATCATGAAGAAGTACTCGTACCCGATACTTATTTGTAAGTGTTACTATGTAGTTAACAAGAATAATGTCTAAAACTTATTAAAACCACATATCCAGTGAGAATATACAACTGGTAGTCTCTTGATTTTCATCGTAACTTTGGATTTTATCGCAATGAAGATAACTTATAAGATACTAAAATGGCAATCTAGATTCTAATCGCATCACACATGTATAATAGATTTTAAAATGATATACTAACTCATGCTTTGACTACAAGAAAAATGTTGAAGGACGCATTAGAATATAACTATTAACCGAAAACTTTATCATAACTTCATAACTTTAAAGTTTTGATGCACCGAATCAACATTGAGAATACAATTAATAATAACAAAGCTTTTATACCAAAATTTTAAGATCAAAATATGATCTTCCATTCACTTCTGGTAACTGTCATTTATTTCACCAATAGAAGTATTTTTTTTCTTCTTCTAATAACAATTACGAAAAATCGTGGTCATATCAAACTACTTGCACATGCACCTTGCCATTTAAATTACTAGGAAAAAAATGTTAAAACCTACTGTCTCCTGTCCTAAAAAATTCAACTACTATTGGACCAAAAAAATCAACACCTAAACAAACTATCTTCCAAACAAATGCCGTAAGGGTGTCCACAATTCGCAACAACTACAGGTATTTAACTGATTTTTCAAGCAACCTATTTTTTATATATTTCAATAATAAGTTATTCACGGGTTCTAAATTTCATGAATAACCATAAAATTTAGTAAATACAAGATAATAGCAGGAAAAACTCTCAAAAATTACCTTAAGTGTGCTGGAGAAAGAGGATGTCTGACGAAGAGAAGGTGACGTCGAGGAAGTCGATTAAATTGCTGTAATTAGGGAAATTAGGTTAGATGGTCAAATAAATTAGGTTTAGGATTTTGTAGAGTAGATAATACTAGTTACAGAGGAAAGGGGGTGACCTGAGGAGGAGGCGGTGGAGGCGCGCGGTGAAGTCACAGGCGGAGGCGCGCGAGCCGGTGAAGTTGAGGCGGAGGCGAAGATCGATGAGCGGTAGTCGAATTGAAGGAAGAGAGTAGAGGAATCTGGGTGAAATTTTCGCCCCTGGCCTTATAAAATAATCAATGGGAAGCAGTATGAGGCCTCTGGGTGAAATTTTGGGAGATGGAGGCGGATTTGAGAGGTTGGGGAGAACAATTAGCGGTGAAATTTTGGGGATGAATTTTTGGCGCCGCTGGCCTGGGTGAAAATTTTTGGCGCCGCTCGTGAAAATTTTGGGGAGAACAAGTGGATCAGAAAACGTTAATTGTAAAATTATTTTTTTAAAACCCTAATATAGCTTCCAAACGGTTTAACCCGTTTGGGGTAAAATATCCCAAACTGTTTAACCCGTTTGTGAGCTTCCTTTGGGAATTTTCAATTACCCAAAGGGTTTTAACAGTTTGGGAAATTTTAGCCCAAACGGTGTTGACCGTTTGGGCTATTTTGACTTGTCCAAACGGTTCCAATAACCATTTGGACAGACCCATTTTGTACTAGTGGTGGTCCGATCTCAGATATTAGATGTATGATTTAAAAATTAGATGTTTGGTCAAGAAAAAGAAGACATTTGAATGCTGTTGACAAAAACCCAGTTTCAAGTTATTTTATAAAGATGTCTAGTTTGTAGTTGAGAGACATATGGTATGATTTCTAGAAGCTTGAATGGTTATTTCATCTGATTTTGTTCTAATGCAGATTAACTCTCTATTGAATTATAGTTTAGACTAATTAAACTATTTATCTATTTTTAAATAACTTATAAGTGAGTATAAAAATAATTGATGATAAAAGATATTTGGTAATCACATTTTTATTATATTTTTATACCCTCGTAATCTATTTTATTTAAATAAATATGTCACTATTGACATGTTCTATCTTAATTTGTAGGTTAATAAAAAATTAATGAATAAAAGCCCAAAAGATATTAATTCCCTAATTTTCTACCATTTAGTGTAGTCTAAATATGAAGACAAAAGAATGTCGAAGAAAGCTCAAGGATAATCAAGAAATAGGGTCAAGAAATCATTAAAAACTAAATTTGTTGCAAACCGATCAGTCGACCAACCGATTGGTTCATAACAGAAATAGTTTTATGGCTAAGATTTAATCCTTATTCTCCAAGTAATATCCATGGGTTCTCATTCATTGCTATATGCTATAAATAAGAGTAGATTGTGAAGCGTTTGAGTGGTGAAAAATTTTATAAAATCTTTATTTCGAGAGTAGGGTTACACTTAATTGAGAATACCTTTCAAAATCGTAACTTTGTTGTAATTAATAAAAAAAGTTTTTGCATCTTCATATTTTTCTTTTCTTCTCTTTACTTGCCTTCAAGGGGCTAGAACTCTCTTACATTGTAAGTTTTCCTTTTCTCTTTTATTTTTTCTTAGAATTTTATGTTTTAGAATTTTATTTTCTTTCGGTAAATTACATTTATTTTGATGCCTTGTAGAATAGATTCACTTTCATCTTTTATTTTTGTATTATTTTCTTGCATTTTTATTTGGTAATATAGATTTATTTTCTTATATTTTCTTTTTGTAGTTAGATTTATTTTTATGTTCATAGTTTAAATATTATTTTTTTGTTCTTATTTACTTTGGTAGTTAGTTTTTTATTTTTCTTGTGTTTTATTCTCTTTCTGTCGTACTCTCTAGTTTAGATTTTTTTTCTCTTTATTTTTCAATAATGTGGAAGTAAAATCTTGTAGGAATTCTAGAGTTGTATGAAACTAGTTTGATTTTTTTTATAATTTATGGATTGTCTCTTATGCTTAAAATGATCATGTTTAATAATCAACTAGAGAACTAATTGGTAAAAGAAGAATTTGATAATCGATGTTTACCTTGAGTGTTTTGATAGATTATATTTATGAATTCTAGAATTATAATATCTAGTTGTTAGTATTTTCATGAATGTTAATTTTACTTGGATGATAATTTGATAGGTTATACTTTCTTTAAATGGTTTGATAGTCTATATTTAAAAAATCTAAAGTGAAATTATGATAAAAATAGAATAGTTTATAAATTCTAAGTGAAATTGACTAGTGGATTCAATTCTAGATTGCTCATATCTCTAATTGAATCCTTCATCTTTTACTTTTTATGATTTTTCCTCTTTATTCTTGATTTTCCTTTATTTATTTCTTATTTTCCTCGAATTACTTCTACCCTCTTAATCTAATTTTGTTTTACTTGCAAATAATCACACTCTTTTTATCTCTTCACATTTATTAGTCCTAATTGTCCACAAAACACACAACTTTGAAACCGTTTTTGATTATCACTTACAACACCTTCCTCGAGAATTCGACATTTTTCTATACTATAACCTGATAGTTGTGCACTTGCAACTTAGGAATTATTTACCCCCTATCAATATTTCAGTTCAAATCAGAATGATACTCAATAGTTTTTAACCTTATAACTTTTTTATATTCTTGTCATATGATTGGCTTTTGACTATATTTGTCTGGTGGTTCTTTTTTAAGACTAATCATATATTTTAAGGCATACTTTTGCCTCGACACATCTATAGTTGGTTTAGTTGTCTATTCGGACCTTCACATTTTCCTCTTTAGGGATTTACTTACCCTTCACTACTGAGTATAAATTAAACTCTTAGGAGTTCTTGTCTGTTAAAAAGATATTTTGTATTATGAGTTGAATTATTGTAAAAGTTTATAAAGGCCATTATCTAACTAAATAAATTGTGATAAGTTATGTTTGTACTCACACACAGGAATTTAACCTGATGTAACCAATTGAGCCATATTTTTAAATAAGGATAGTTATAGATCAAACTCTGTTTATAGTCTTTTATTCATCACAACCCTTTTCTCTGAGAATTTGTTTAACAATTGAACTTGAATTGTTGTATTTTTGATAATTTGAAACTGTCCAAGTATGTCTAAAGAGACTCAACAACCTAAAAATTCATGAGTGGTTGTAGTATTATTATAAATAATGTGACTTGAAAGAGTAATTAATTATTCGATGAAGTAAGAGTAGTCCTATGAGATACCTACATAATATATGGAGTGTTTTGTCACTCAAATAACTCAGCACATTGAAATAAATTAATGATGTTATTGCTATCGCTGCATAGCAACTAAATGTTGATGATTAAAAGGATTTTGTTTGTTAATCTTTTGTACATATAGATGGGAGTAGTAACCTACTCCTAGACTGTGAGATATTTAATCATCTAAGTTAGGGAATGCATACGTATGCATCGGGTGGCTAGCTACCAAATGTTATTTGACGATGATTAATAACCCCTAACTAGTTGTATGGTCAATACGTCAAAAGATTTGGGATTCAGTGCATAACATTACAAGTATAAAGAAAGTAATTTAAATAACAGCCGGAATGTGGATAAGTAACAAGGTGAGTCATATCTTAAGGCGAGTTGATTGGCTAGAGGACTCCGAGATGACTGCCTATTATGAGATTATGATTTTGTTTGTGTTACCACCTTATGCAGACACGCTCAATCATCACATAAGTAAGAACAAAATTAAAGATTATTTTTCTAAATGATATTTGTTTAATATAGTTGTAGTTGATTTACAATATGCATCATGATTATATGATGACGCGATATGATGATGTTGTTATAGAGTGGATGACATCCTGTGCTTTATTTGATATATTAGTGATTTCCTCTCAATCACTTGTGGATTATTATCCCTTTTTAGTATAATTTGTTAAAATTATCCTAAGTGGGGAGTGAATAGGGTAAATGCTAATCTAATCCGATATTAATGACAAATTAAAACAATATCCTAGCAATTATGATATACAACAATATATATGAACAAGGATATGCAATTAAACTAAGGGCGATATAAACATGAGAAAATGATGATATAGAATACAATAAGCAATGCACACAAATGATACTACAAGGCAAACTCAAACACATAATATGATCATGAAGTTTGGTCACCCTTGACCTTCATCTCTGCTCCTCACTCACGAGGAGAATCTTCACTATCACAATCGGTTTTTAACGTTCATCGAAAACATTTACAACTCACACAATCGGTTTTTTAGCTCACCGAAAACTCTAACAATCACTCATAATGTAATCACACACTACAACCTCATGTGTTTGTCTCTCACATGTCGCCTCTCTCAAGTGCTCGAATTTACAACCTTTCTCTAGGCTTTACTATCGACACCACTCCTTTTGGTATCGACCATGTCTCTCACCACACACTCCTCTCAATGTACTTGTGTATTACAATGTGATCTCACAATTAAGCACAAGAAAAATATTTGTTCTCTACAATATATGAGAACTCAATAAAGCCCACACTCAATGTTACACTCTCATAACCCAAATATACTATATATGAATTACTTAAGCTCAAGTGGGTGTGTGTGTAAACAACACCAAAAGTAGGCTAGTTAGAGATAGTATCCTCCTTTCCTCAGTCGATCTCATAGGGATACAAGAATCCAAGCATAGCTCATTCAATTCTGCTATCCTTAGAAAAATTGGTATCTCTAGGCTTTCTTCCTGGCTTCAGTTAGACGCTTCTGACTCTAGAGGAGGTGTTTTGCTAGGGTGGAATGATTCTGTTTTTGATTGTCTGGACTCTTACGTGGGCATTTTTTCTGTCTCTGCCATTCTCAATCATAGGATGCTCAATTGGAAATTCATTGCAATCTCCATCTATGCTCCTACCGACAAAGCAGACAGAGAGGTCTGTTGGTGGGAGCTTCATAGAATTAAACTCATGTTCTCTCTCCCTTGGGCACTGTTCGGAGACTTTAATGTCACCCTCTCAGCGGACGAGAGAAATGGCAGATCTGCCTCCCTCTCAGATATTAAAAACTTCCACCTCCTCATCAACTCTCTGCTTCTTGTTGACCTCCCACTCAATGGTAAGAGATATACCTGGTCCAACAAGAGATCCCCCCCTATCCTTGCCAGACTCGAAAGATTCTTCATATCCTC